TTGCTCAAAATCTTACAAGCCCCATGGAATTAATTCAAATGCATCGATTATTTCAAATCCCAATAACTCAAAAACAGTTTTTCGCAGCGACCTCTACCAGGAATATATTTTTCACACAAAAGTATTCTAGAGAACTATTTTTCTACTATAAAACGTGATACAGGTACGCACAAGAAAGTAATGACATTTCAAAAGACATGTATAGGTGGCACCACCCCCACGAAAGAGACAAACCAACATAAAATTTGTTAGTGTCATTGAAAAATACCCCTAGATACCAAACTTTATTCGAATATCACAATTATTCTGAATTTTATTAACAAAAAACAAAAACTAAAATTCAACTTTGACACTCTGTATCTCAGAAACGAATAACTTTCGGACATATACATTTATACGAACTTTTCTTATTCAAATAAGATAGTTGAGGTGCACTTCGGTGTGACCCTGTATACCTACGATTCATTCAATAGCAGCATAATTCGAGTGAGCATCATCAAATATACTGGGTGACCAAATTTTAAGTCATTCGATCGCGCGGTTGATTTTTTACAGGTGGGACATTTTAGCTGGGACACGGTGTATATTTCGCCTGGTGGGTGACGCCACACTCACTCACTCTTTGACATCATTGGAACACCGTGGAAAGGTCGGCGACCTTTCATGCACTTTTCTATCGATACTTCCACGGGAAATGTTCTTCGGAAATCTCTGCTATCATCCCTTCACTAGCAATACCAATCAGACGAACTAGACAAGCCCAGTCAGCACATCCTTTTGTTGTCAACCTCGAAAGATGTCGAACAGCACTTTATCATGACTCCTTCATCCATAGAACGGCTAGGCTCTGGAATTCATTGCCTGTGGAAGTATTCCCAACAACATATAATCTCCAGAAATTTCAAAAAAAAAATCCAAAACCTACCTCCTGTTCCTAATCCTCCCTAGGAACGCACGATGTTCTTTGAAAATTATAGGGATTCCCTTTCGTGCGCTCCAAGCGATAAAAAAAATATATAAAAAGCAATACATTGAGAATTCGCATTCTCTATGTGATGTGAATATCAACTTTTTTTCAGTTTATTCAACAGAAAACAACTACTTTCCTGGCTATAAGCCACGACGAACATTGAATTATATCTATTGAACACAAACGATAAGAGTTTGAGAATGAAATATAAAATCTTCTCTGAAAATGAGAATTTGCATTCTCCTTTAGACAAAAATACGTATATGCACACATCATTCTGAATATTCAACAGAAAACAACTACTTTCCTGGCTATTTGTCACGTCGAACATTGAAAAAATGTATACAGAGTGGGCCTTTGAAAACGAAACAGAGGCTCTATAGGTCGCCAAAACCGGATTATGAAAAGAATCTGAAACACGTCATCTACATTTCCGAGGGGGACATCGTCCTACAATATTTTCAGCCCTGCGGCGTTGCCGCTGCTAACGAAAAGAAGCAACAACTTTGTTATTTCAAATGGAACACCTTGTATTTTATTGCATTTTTAGATTCTCCCCGAAAATCTGATTTCATCAATGCATCACACTTGGGGTCTAGCTGTAATGGTTTCAGGGATATAAAGTGTTCAAAATCGAGATTTTTCAACTTTAACATTTTTTTGTGTCGAAACTAATCATTATTGGTCAAAACGACTCCCATGTCCCTATCTCAACTTGTGATTCACTATCTACTAACATATAATTGGAACAGATACAGGGTGATCAGAATTCTGAATCTTGAACCAGCCTGTATTTGTTTCAAATAAATGTTAGTAGATAGTAAATGACAAGTTGAGATAGGGACATGAGAGCCGTTTTGACCAATAATGAATAGTTTCGACACAAAAAAATTTTAAAGTTGAAAAATCTCGATTTTGAACACTTTATATCCCTGAAACCATTACAGCTAGACCCCAAGTGTGATGCATTGATGAATTCAGCTCTTCGGAGAGAATCTAAGAATGCAATAAAATACAAGGTGTTCCACTTGAAATAACAAAGTTGTTGCTTCTTTTCTTTAGAAGCGGCAACGCCGCAGGGCTGAAAATATTTTAGAATGATGTCCCCCTCGAAAATGTAGTTGACCTGTTTCAGTTTTTTTTTGATAATCCGGTTTTGGCGACCTAAAGAGCCTCTGTTTCGTTTTCAAAGGCCCACTCTGTATATTTTAGACCTATATTTTGGAACAGAAGATTTTAATATCCGTTTGAGAGAATCTGCTGTTCCATCCATTTACAAAACAGACTACTCGAAAAGAGAATCCATTATTATCATCACACGAAATGCAACAAAAACTATCATGGAGAGAGAGGAATTGATTGCAAAAATACGTAATGAAATTGAGAATTTGAGAACGAAACTGAGGAAATCAAGTAAATTTCAACGTGATATATCATGTCATTGAAATGTTGTTACATGCATTATTTTCATTGTTATAACTGTTGTTTTGCGAAAAGTGCCGTATCGCTATAAATGTGTTTATAGCCTATTTCTATTTTCCATCTACGACAATGATTGATTTGACAGAAAATATAACCTCTGAGATCGTATCTGACAATCAGGCGCTGCTAGGGAAATGGAAAAGACAAAGAGCAGAGTATATGTCTTATTATTTTATTCACTCAAACCATTGTAACATAGAAAATAGAAATGTACAGGAGTTCAGCCGTGTCCGAACTCTTAGAGGTATTCACAATAAAAAATCGAATAAATACCGGTCGTCCATAAAATGTTGGTATGTATTCCGGGCATAACTTGCTTTTATGGACCTAGAAGTGTTAATGTAGCCCTTGCAGCAATGGCTCATTGCTATCGCTATGGGTTGCGTGCAAGAACTGTCAGATGACCGACCCTGGAGGCACAACATTGAAACACAACCTCACTTTTCTTATTTGTTTACAAGTGATCGAAATAGTTTTTCACAATTATTTTGGCATATGAATCGTATTTTTCGGCTTTTCATCAATTCAATCATGCCATCACATTGTGCTGTGCACTGCAGCGGAAGATGAAGGAATCCGGTTGGTACATTACGATTTAAAAGTACCTACTATAGTCACTCACATATAGTTTTCATTTTTGAAATTTGGTAATTTCTCTGATTTCTCATCGGAATTCCTTCTGCTATAGGAGCTAATAGAAATACACCTGATATTTCTAAAACCAGAACCATGGACGTATAAAACCATAACGCAGAAGGAATTTTAATAAGGAATGCCAACATTTCATAACGATATAACTATGTGAGATTACTATATTTACCTGAAAAATCATATTCCTTTCATCTCTCGCTGCATTTTTTGTGCATTGTACAGGATGATCAGTTAAGGGTAGCGAGCGGCCATATCTCATAAGATATTGGTCGTATAGATTTGAGAAAAAAAATTATGATGAAAGTCGCCAAGAGAAAATGCTGGAAATTATTTTCGAGTTTGTCAAACGTCCGCTAGAGGGCGTAACAACCAACAGCAAGTAGAAAAATGGGATTTTTATAGAATTTTGTCTTATGAAAGTATGTCGATGATATCATTTTCATATTTACTGACCATTTCCCTACATTTCTTGTGAAAAACGTTTTGATCTAGCCATCGAAATAAAGCGGTAAGGGAAGTTCAATTGTTTTTTCAAACAAACCAAGATTTCTCCCGTTTATTTCGACCGATTTTACCAAACTCAGGGTAATATGAAGGAGCATAATTTGCCCTACAAAACGCTTATTTGTTTCTGAATTTTTGACTTCTGCTGTCGCCGCTAGATGGCGTTAACTGGAATGTTAGCAAATTTTAGAGTTTTTTTCAAAAAAATCAAATGTAATGGTATATAAATTTTCATATTTTGTGAAAGTGGAGTAATTTCTTCAAAATTTATTGAAAATAATTTATCATCTACCTTTTCTTAATCGTTGATATTGACCATAATATAATTTTATTACATGAAAAAATGGCACGCCACTGTTTTTTATCAAAATAAAAATCAGTTTTGTAATCTCTTATTAGTTGCTAACTTATTTTTATTTTGATAAAAAACAGTGGCGTGCCATTTTTTAATGTAATAAAATTATATTATGGTCAATATCAACGATTCAATAAAAGTTAGATGATGAATTATCCTCATTAAATTATAGAGAAATTTATCCTCTTTCAAAACATATAAAAATTTATATACCATTACTTTTGATTTTTTTGAAGAAAACTCAAAAATTTGCTAACATTTCAGTTAACGCAATCTAGCGGCGACAGCAAAAATCAAAAATTCGAAACCAAATAAGCATTTTGTAGGGCAAATTATGCTCTTTCATATTACTCTGAGTTTGCTAAAATCGGTCGAAATATACGGAAGAAATCTTGGTTTGTTTGAAAAAACAATTGAACTTCCCCCACCGCTTTACTTTGATAGCTAGAACAAAACGTTTTTGACAAAAAATGTAGGGAAATGGTCAGAAAATATGGAAATGATATCATCGACATACTTTCATGAGACAAAATTGTATAAAAATCCCATTTTTCTACTTGGTGTTGGTTGTTACGCCCTCTAGCGGACGTTTGACAAACTCGAAAATAATTTCCAGCGACTTTTATCATGATTTTTTTGTCTCAAATCTATACGACCAATATCTTATGAGATATGGCCGCTCGCTACCCTTAACTGATCACCCTGTACAACAGCACAATGCGAAGGCATGCTTGAATCAATGAATAGCGCAAAAAACACAATTCGTAAGCCAAAATATTGTGAAAAACTATTTCATTCCTTCGATTCCTCTGTAAACAAATAAAAAAGTGAGGTTGTGTTTCAATAATTCACAGAAGAGTGAGGTTATGTTTCAATATTTTGCCTGCAGGGTCGGTCATCGTCATAGGTCATCGTGCACGCAACCTATAGGGCTCTCAGCACATACACGCTAATATCCATGAAAGTCTGTTTCACTCTCTTAATTGCTACATAAATAAATATTTTTAAAAAAATCTAGATTATCTGAGTATGTCTGTCCTACATAATATTATGTTTACAATTTTCCTCGTGTTCAGACAGTAAGACCAATTTTCCAGTGAACTCGCAGCCATTTTTTGAGAAAAGGCAAGTGAGCACTATTTCATCAGCCAATTTTTGTAACGGAAGATTTCTAGATTTTCTAATTCTTGTTTGACAGGAAGTGCACTCAGAATGTTCAGTTCTACACATATTGCATACTACATGCCCCTTTTGACAATTATAAATATTCAGAGTCATATAGTCCATGCAGACAGAGCACTTCAACTGCTCTCTCAAGAGATCAACACATTGTTCAACAACGGTTGGATCAATTTTTCTCACTGTTTTTCCTATCCTATTTCCATCAACAAGCTTATTAATACACCTTTCAAAGTCATTTGGAACGATTTTCATGCTGAACTTGATCTCAGAATCATCACCAAAAAGAGGTTTAATGTGAGTTAGATCAATCTTGTTGCAAGTTACGTTGACAGGGACATTTCCATTCACCCTCGAATGCGGATGATGTATCAGATCGCATTTTTCATCGATGCATTTGAAACAATGATCCCTCTCATCATAGTTATTAATTGGCTGATTTTCAATTGTGACAGAATAAGCGTCATCGTGGATGCTGGACAATTTCAATTCGTATGCGAATAATATATTGATTTTATTTAAACCAGCGAAATATATGTCTAGTGTCGTAGAACTATGTGTAACCGACACGAAAAAATATCGAATGCAGTCTTTAACAACATAAATACAAGCATCATTTGAAGGTAGTGTATCTTCCAAAGTCTTCAAGAAAAAATGCCCTGGATGTTTATCATTCATGTGTTCTTCGAAGGTTCGCATCTCAACAATGTCGTCATCACATTCGTAATAAATTGGACACTTTATAGTCTTGTTGGCACAAAGAAAGTCTTCATGGTCTACCACTTCTTTCCACGGGATCATCTGATCGCAATTCTCGTAGATGCAAGGGAATGAGAGAAACTGCGAGATGTTCTCGAGAGCAAAATTTCTAGCGCAAAATGGTTTTTCGACATTCTTGCACCTTCCACACTTCAGTTGTTTTCCATCTTCGGAAATCGATATTATGGGGGGGACTGATAAAACTTGGTTGCACAGGCAGCACTTCATTGATAGCAAGGCATTTTGAATTTCCAATGATTCAGCCATAATGATCTGAAAAAAAAAATCAGATGGATAGAAAAGGGAGATATTTACTGTTATCATCAAAATGGGTAGCGGAAATTTGATCGAAAGCCAAATGATAGAAAAACATTCGATAGAAGTCTTTTGATCGAAAATCAAGAAATAGAAAGAACTTTTCATCGAAAATACATTTGATCGAATGTTTCATGATAGAAAATACATTTGATAGAAACATAAATGATAGAAATTACAATTGAGATAAAAAATATTCGATAGAAAATACACTTGATAGAAACAGCATTTGATAGAAAATTCAACGGGACTACGCTCAAGTTAGGTCAGTTCGTTTGTGAAGATAGATAGATAGATAGATAGATTTATTTGTTTCAAAAACATACAGTTTAAGAAAAAACGTAAAAATTAGGCTAAAGTACATAAATAAATAAATATCGTAGGTATAAAACAAACATAATAATATACAAGATTTCACAGGTACATGAACATAAAAAGTATATGAACGTCTACTCTAAAAACATTATTCATCAGTCAGCGATGATTGGATCACAGAAGAATTCATCCAAGGTGTAATAAGATTTTTTCAGGAGCATGTTTTTCATTTTATTCTTGAATTGGAATTTATTTTTTGATTCTTGTATAGATTTTGGCAGGCAATTGTATAATTTACATCCATTGTAATATAAACTTTTCTGATACCGAGCAGATGAGTGTTGAGGAGGCAACAGATAATCTTTGTTCCTTGTATTGTAATTATGTTCGACTTTTTCAGTCTCAAAATAACGTTTATGCTTAAATACATAACAGGTTACTTCATAAATGTAAAGGGAAATCATTGTGAAGATACCCAGTTTTTTAAAATATTCCCTGCATGAATCTCTTGCTCTCAGATTTCCCAAGATACGGACTGCCCTTTTTTGTAAGGTGAAGGCCCTATGAGCTTCTGCGGAATTCGCCCAATGCATGATTCCATATTTCAAATTTGAGTGGAAGCATCCGAAATACAATTGTTTAATTATTTCTCTACTACATTGTTGTGATGAAATGAGAAGGCCATAGCATATCCTAGCTAGCTTCGAACACAAACTATCTACATGTCCATACCACTCCAGGTTACTTTCTAAAATAACACCAAGCAATTTAGTATTTAGAGCGCAGTTGATTTCTGTATTATTTAGAGTTATGTGGTTAGGATATTCTGAACCAGAAGATTTGAAAATAACACAGGTCGATTTATCATTATTCAGACAAAGCTTGTTCACATCAACCCACTTGCAAACATTCATGTAAACTAGTTCGGCATGTTTTTTAGCATTATAAACAGTGTCTGAAATGAACAGAAAGTTTGTATCATCAGCATAAGCTACTACTTGAGTAGAGTGTGATCTCATTGATTCAATTAAATCGTTGATATATATGATAAAGAGTGTTGGACCAAGAATGGATCCTTGAGGCACACCTATATTCACAGATTTCAAATCAGAAATATAGTTATTACATCTAACCTGCTGTTGTCTATCAGTCAGATATGATGCGAACCATTGGAGAGGAACTCCACGAATTCCATATCTCTCCAATTTATACAGAAGAATGTCATGCCGAACACAGTCAAATGCCTTGGATATGATCCTTCCTCATATATTTGAGAAGAAGGAGCTAGAAGTTTGTGGTATCAATAAATTCATAAGTTTCGATTTCCATCTAGCTCCTTCTTCTCAAATATATGAAGAAGGATCATATTTTCACAAACGTACTGACCTAACTTGAGCGTAGGCTCGTTGAATTTTCTATCAAATGCTGTTTCTATCAAGTGTATTTTCTATTAAATATTTTTCCTATCAATTGTATTTTCTATCATCTATGTTTCTATCAAATGTATATTCTATCATAACACATTCGATCAAATACATTTCTATCGAAACCACTTTCGATCAAGAGACTTCTATCAAATGTTTTTCTATCATTTGTCATTCGATTAAATTTCCGCCACCCCATCAAAATAAACATCGTGGTCCAAAATATATGCCGATTTCAAAATCGAATTTGTCATGGATCCCATAACTAATTTTTATTCGGTTTTCACAGTAGTTGGCTAGCCCAACATCTCAGTTACTTGTCAGTTCAATATAAGACTACAAATATTCTAGATGAACAATCTGCTTAGATTATGCATTATATTATCCTCTAAGCCTCAGGGGATGATATAATGGGGTTGTACCGTTACCATCGAGACTATAAGGCCTGCATGCTCCGTGGTGACGTCACCTTAGTGAGGCCTAACCAGCGGCTCAACAAGCGCTTATGGCGACCGCGTACTTCAATTTTAGTTTTAGATCATTTCTGAGCCGATTTTGCTGTCTTTTTTAAGGGCTTCCGGTTAAAAGAGGATGCCAGTCGTCAACTCAGCCCTTCCTCGCATCCCATTCGATTTTATTATGGAAAAATACCCACCTACAGCAACTAATTCGAATTAAATATATTGGCAAAAATTGTAGTGATTTAATCTCATTAGAGGTAAACTTCGCACCTACTTAGGTATACAGGGTCCGCAGAACATAAACTTATCTTGAGATTGATCGAAAGGAAATTGGGGAAAATGTTTTTCATTTTGATAGACATGCCGTTTGTTATAATTACCTATATTTATCTTGGAGAATTCATATTAAATAAAAAATTAGCCAGCGAGTGTTTTCAATTTCCTGTTCCTGTGTCTTGGATTTTTTACTCAATTGATCGTTAGACTTCAAACAGTAATTTTCAAGTAGAGTGTTTGTAGTAGGTACATGTTAATATAATATGTAGTTGCAATTCGATCATTGGAATGAATTCTGCATTCATTACCACGAGGCAAATGACCGTTTTCAGAAAGAAATTTGAGAATGTATTGAGTTTAAAATGCCCGTTTATTATATGAACATTCGAGAATATTTCCTCGAATTCAGAGAATTCAGAGATGATTTTGTTGAATATAATATACGAATACAAAACTAACTGATGCACAATCAAAGCTTGCGGATAGAGTAATTCTCCTCTACTAATACTGTTTATGAGATTGTAATTCTCTTCTATTATTAATTCATCAGTTCTGTTCACAAAATTCGCACTGAATTTTTCTAAGGGTAATATAGCCACAATAACCTGCTAAATAGGTTATTACCGGCATGTCATCACTATATTTATCTATCTCAGATTCCTCGACTGTGATATCTGGATTAAAAGAATGATTTTCTTGTTGGATTTCTTCGGTGAAATCAATATTTTCGTGGAAGCGCCTGATTTGTATATTACCGTAAGTACGAGATTATAGCGTGCGCAGTGATTGAATTCTGAGCCTTTTTTGCGATTCATACAATTGTCGATTAGATATGTGATATTGTCCACCTGGAAGTTGACGATATTTCCCGAACCTATGTACCAAATCATCTGTTTGAAATTTTCCTACTAAAACATAATCTATTTTGAGTTCGTTCAAACGATATTGCATAACTTCTGTCATTCCATATACAGGGTGTCCCCAAATTAGCCTGCCAAACTTCACCAGCGGCTTTTACGACCAAAAATAGGAATAAAACTTTCAATGAACATGAGTCGAGAATTGCCTCCTAACAGAGCTATGGCTCCCTGAAGATGATATTTCTTGAGTATTTCCGAAACTCCATGTGATAAAAAGATGCAATTTGGTACAAGAACTAAACTTCCTATGCCCAATGCAGTGAATATGAAATCATTTCAAAATTTGGAGTGTATAATACAGGGTGGGACTATACCTGAAATATTGCTCTAAATTTCTTGAATGCATATTTTTCGACAATTTAATCCTGGATTATGAAATTCCTCACCTTCTTACAGGAAAAAGGTACTCTTGTTCCGTGACGATCACATGTGTTATTATCGAGTGAAAGCAATTTAAAAATATTGTTACATCTCAGATATTATGCAGAACATTGCAATGAGGCGTAGTGAAAATGAAAAAAAATGCACAGAAATTGAAGTATTTTTTTCATCATCTTTTTTCTATTTTTCGCGCTTTTATGATATTGTTTGGTGAAAATAAAGTACTTTTTCTGCAACCGACACAAAAGTCGTCCATTTTGATACCAAAATTAGCTCTTAAATTGACGTTTCTATTACTGACACAAAAATAGGTATGTTGCTAGGCAACATATTTAGTTCCTAGGAGCTAAAGTTGAATTTTAGTTCCTAGGAGCTAAAGTTGAACTTTAGCTCCTAGGAACTAGAAAGGATCTACTGGACGTCATCAAGAATGAACAACATTGTGACGATTGATTATTTGGGTTGAGACGCATACCTGATTTGTTTCCGATTTCTGCAGATTTGGCATTTCATACCCATGCTGGAGATATAAATACACCTTATTATAGTTCAGTATTGGAATCATAAACATCTCAGTTGAGTATTTTTGTTTTGATCAGGGAAGCCTTCAAGATTCAAATACTTGCTTGATCTGTATTTCATTCGTTATTCTCGGGATGGATAACTTGTTTTTGAATGATCACGGCAAGCAAAAATAGTTTTTTGTCTCAAACAATGATATTGTTTAGCTTAATTTGATTATCAAGTCAAACACAATGTAGTATGGAGAGGAATAAATAATCACTATTATCATTGTTGATATGCTCACTAACCTAACATTTTCCACGTCTTGTTCCTATAGCTGGCACTGGCGCGGTATTTGCCATTAGAGCACCTGGTCCATACACAAATATGTCACTCTGTGGTTGTATTTATATTGAAATCACAATTCGAACATGCTAGAAAACCTAACCTGCTGTTAATGCAGGTAAAATTGCAAAAATTGTGAAAAATTCCTGAAAATTGCAAAAATTCCTGAAAATTGCAAAAATTGCAAAAATTCCTGAAAATTGTGAAAATTGCAAAAACTCCTAGAAATTGCAAAAATTGTGAAAATTCCTGAAGATTGCAAAGTTTCCTGAAGGTTGCAAGAATCCCTGAAATTTGCGAAAATTCCTGGAAATTGCGAAAATTGT